GCCATCAGAATGATGCAGAGTTTGGCCACAGCGGCCCAACTCCAGGGGAAAACCATCTCCTTTCTGGCTCCCCCATCTGCTGAGAGCTACTTCTACTCAATAAAACCTTGCACTCATTCTCCAAATCCACATGTGATCCGATTCTTCCGGTACACCAAGGTAAGAAACCCTGCGATACAGCAATCCCTCTGTCCTTGTGGTAAGGTAGAGGGTCTGAGCTGGTTAACACAAGTCACCTATAGAGCAAACCAAAAGAGCATCCTGTAACACACGTCCACTGGGGCTTCGGCTGTAAACATTCACCCCTAGACACTGCCGTGGGGTCTGAGCCCCACAGCCTGCCCGTTGGTTATGCTCCCCTAGAGGTTTCAGCAGCAGGGTACTGAAGAAGCAAGCCACACCCCCATTGCACGCTCTGTGAGGGAGACAAAGGAATCTTTCCTGTTTCAGTACTACATTGAATAGGGGTGGTGAGAGTGGACATTCTTAGTTTGTTCTGGTTCTCAGGGGGAATGCTTCCAGCTTTTGCCTATTGAGTATGATGTTGGCTGTAGGACTGTCACAGACGGCTCTTATTAGTATGAGGTATGTTCCTTTGATGGGTAATTTGTCGAGGGTTAACATGAAGGGATGTTAGGATTTATTGAAAGCCTTTTCTGCATCTACGGAGATGATCGTGTAATTTTTTTAGTTCTGTTTATGTGATGAATCATGTTTACTGGTTTGCATTTGTTGAACGAACCTTGCATCCCAGGGATAAAGCCTATTTGATCAGGGTGTTTTAGCTTTTTGATGTGCTGCTGGATTCGATTTTCTAGTATTTTGTTGAGTTTTGCATCTATGCTCATCACTGGCCAGCAGGTTTTTTTTGTTTTTGTTTTTGTTTGTAAATTGTCTCTCTGCCAGGTTTTGGTATCAGAATGATGCTGGTTTCACAGAATGAGTTAGGGAAGTCTCTCCTCCTTGACTTACACATCTGGTAGAATTCAGCTGTTAATCTGTCTGGTTGGGGGTTGGGGGGCTTCTGGTTGGTAGGGTTTTTTTTTACTACTGATTCAAATTTGGAACTCATTATTGGTCTGTTAAGGATTTCAACTCCTTCCTAATTCAATCTTGAGAGATTGTACGTTTCTAGGAGTTTATCCGTTTCTTTTAGGTATTCTAGTTTGTGTGCACAGAGGTGTTCATAGTCTCTGAGGGTTTTCTGTATTTCTGTGGAGTTGGTGGTAATATCCCTTTGTCATTTCTGATTGTGTTTATTTAGATCTTTTCTCTTTTTTTCTCTATTAATCTAGCTAGCAGTCTATTAATCTTACTCTTTCAAAGAGCCAACTTTTGGTTTTATTGATCTTTTGTATGGATTTTCACATATCAATTTTGTTCAGCTCTGATTCTGGTTATTTTCTTCTGCTACCTTTGGGACTGGTTTGCTCTTGTTCTTGTAGTTCCTCCAGGTGTGACGTTAGGTGGTTAATTTGAGATCTAACTTCGTGATATAGGCATTTAGCACTATGAACTTTCCTCTTAATACTGCTTTAGCTGTGTCCCAGAGATTCTGGTACACTGTATCTTTGTTTTCACTTGTTTCAAAGAATTTTTTGAGGCTGGGCATGGTGGCTCATCCCTGTAATCCCAGCACTTCGGGAGGCCAAGGCAGGCAGATCACTTGGGTCCAGGAGTTTGAGACCAGCCTGGGCAACATGGCTAAGCCTAGTCTGTACAAAAAATACAAAAATTTGCCAGGTGTGGTAGCACACACCTGTAGTCCCAGCTACTCAGGAGGCTGAGGCAAGAGGATTGTTTGAGCCCAGGAGGCAGAGGTTGCAGAGAGCCGAGAGAGCCAAGATCACACCACTGCACTTCAGCCTGGGTGACAGAGATCCTGTCTCCAAAAAAAAAAAAAAAACCAACACTGTGTTAATTTCATTCTTTGCCCAAAAGTGATTTAGGACCAGGCTGCTTAATTTCCATGTAATTGTATAAAAACCTAATTTCTTAATCTGAATGTTTGTTAAGTATCTCCACAGTACAAATAATAAGACTACTAAATTGATCATCAGGAGACCTGGTTGTATTTCCTGCTCTGCAACTAAATGGCAGAGGTAACCTAAGGCTAAAATAGACTTTAAGTTTCTTTTATCTATCTGTATTTTTGTTCAGGAATAAGAGTGGGTCAAACTGGATATACTGTATATCATTTTTAGGTTTCAAATTGTAGAAAACAATACATTTCAAGTTGTTTATATATTATGAAAAATCACTATTATATACATTCTCACTAATAGCACATAATTTGTGAGAGAAGCTAGATAAAGCTTTTAAAGGCTAACTGTTGAGGTCAAATTTGTTTCTGAACCTATCTTCAGAATGTGATTCAAATTTGCAGAGTCAAAAGACAGTATATTTTTTACTGTACTTAGAATAAGGCATTGAAACTGAGTTTTACAACAAGCGCTAAACACATTTCTCAGCAGCTGCAACTAGTGACAAACCAGTGCCACTCTCATGTGAGCGCCTAGAAGGTTGGGCTTGTGGTACATCCATCTATAGAGTAATTTACTTTTTAGTTATCGCTCTGTAGATGTTAGTTGAAAGAACAAACTCAATATACACATCAATCTCCCCAAATGAGAGTTATCACTAAATTCATCTGAACCTGTCTCATAGTTAAGGCATCAACATCACTGATTAGAAAAACATTAAAACTTATTTCTAATGTCAAGTGTATCCCAACTGTAAACAATCTATAGCTAAGTGGCCAAACAGCTTATAAAATAATCTGTTTTTTTTTCAGATGGAGTCTCGCTCTGTCTCCCAGGCTGGAGTGCAGTGGCGCCATCTCAGCTCATTGCAAGCTCCGCCTCCCAGGTTCATGCCATTCTCCTGCCTCTGCCTCCCAAGTAGCTGGGGCTACAGGTGCCCACCACCACACTCAGCTAATTTTTTTTGTATTTTTAGTAGAGACGGGGTTTTACTATGTTAGCCAGGATGGTCTTGATTTCCTGACCTCGTGATCCGCCCGCCTTGGCCTCCCAAAGTGCTGGGATTACAGGTGTGAGCCACCGTGCCCAGCCAATAGTCTGCATTTTTAATTCCCCTCAGGTACAACTCAAACAATTATGAAACATGAATTAAGAAATTCACTACATTTGGCAGACTAACAACTTCCTACTAAAATGGGTTATACTATCTGGTATACTACATTACTGAAACTGGAACTTTATACATAAACACCTGGAAATGCTAAATACAATGTAACATATACCTGAAATGCTGACTAGGAAGAAAACAGTCATGGGCTACAAATGAAGAAAATGCTGAGGACTAATAAAGTACACAGGTACTGCCCACGAGGAAAGTGTAGGCAGTACTGAGAATTGGCTTTTACCAACTACATAGGGAAAGGACACAGAGGAACTGGAACTAGAGCCACACAGGAACTGGAACTAGAGCCACAGAAGAGTCACACAATCAATGAAAGATTAAACTAGAGGGAAAAACTGTTTCCAATCAAATGTCGGGGAAGCATACCCATCTTGATCTACCTCTGGAGCAGGGGAAGAAAAGGGGCTCCTGGATAATTTGTCAGCCAGGGTCCAATGTCACTCAGGTCTGATTCAAAGACAGACTAGAAATCCTTATGTTAAGAATTTAACACAAAAATCAACTCAAGGCTTGAGATATTCTTGAAGCATCTGGCAGAGCAATCACAAAATCACTCTGGAAGGACATGCCTTTAAGCCAGTACCACTTCAAATAAAACCATATTAAGATTAGTGAGTAACAGTCCAAATTCCTAACAAATACCAAAATTAAATAATGTATGTAACACAACAGGAAAATCTGACAGCTTTTGTTTAGTAAGAAGTACCATGAAAATGTAACAAACACTATGAAAATATTAAAGCAGAATACAGTTAACCCCCTTCTCTCCAACTAGTGATCACAGCATTTCTCTTATCCTCTGAAACGGTATGTATTACAATTTTTGAGCTCCTGCATTTTCTATTCCTATCCCCTATTTCATAAAATGCATTCTGATAGAAGGAACTATCTTAAAATCCTACATCAGTCAATGGTATTTAGCTGAATATATAAAATAGTCACCCATTTTAACAATGAAGATGACTAAAAAAAAAATCTACTGAGGAAAAACTGTTTGCAACACTGTGTCTAAAAAACTTGATAGCATTCTGAAAATCACTTAAACATGGCTCATTTTAAACCTTGTTAATGTATATATCACTGAAGCTTATTTAAAACAATGTTTATATTGCCATCTTTCTTCTGTAAACTATAGCCAATCCAAGAAGTAGTAAACAGACTTAAAAATATTCATTAATAGAAGAAATGCTATGGGAAAATATATGTAAAACTTAAATTTTAAATCTGAAAGTGGTTGGGAATGGAAGAGATTTATTTTGTGCCCAATAACCATGATGCATGTTTATTAGAACAAACTGGGTACAAGTGTGATTGTATTCATTTTAATAAGGAAATGAGGAAGGAAAATAGACATTAAACATTTTTTAAAGTTAAGCATGTGGAAATTTTATCATCATTTATAGGTTTCATTTTCACTTCTTTAACTTTACTGCTATCTAGGTTAAATAACTATGCCCCCCACCTATCCACCTACTTACTCCCACTACGGTATAACATCTAATATTCAGAGAGAACCTGAACTGAGGAAGCTTTAGAACTTCCTCAAGCTCTCTCAGAGAAAAACATCAAAGAAAACAATTCATATTAAAAGTTAATATGATAGTATCCTTTTTCATTAGGACTTTAGCCAGAAGTTTCTGTAACTTTCCCTAAAGGATCCAAATATAAAAGAATATATCCTGTTTTGAAAAATTATGCTTCATACTATGTGTAAGGCCTATAGCACAGAAACTGAAATTTTGTTTTCTCCAAATAAGTAATACTGATTCAGTAACTACTATTTTCCAATGATACCTCAATGTCCTACGAACAGGATAGTTTAATAAATTACTTACTTCAGGTCCTGTAGAAGGTCTTTTGCATTAAGCATGGTTATTAAAGAGGTGGTAGCTGCAGGAATTATGATAATGGGTGTTCGAGATCCTATAAAGACAAAATTTTACAGGTAGAAAATGTATTATTAGGAATTACAATTACTTTCCCTACTAAAAGTTAAAAGATTATAAATTGTAACTTTAACTCTTTCGATCTAAAAAATATTTTAAGCCAGTGGATATTTAAAAATATTTAATAATCAATGTGGCTTGAGTTCTGACAAATCAGAATGGATACCAAGCACAAACATGTGATACAGCTGCATGAGGAAAGTATCAGGCCTGGTTCTGCAATCATTTACTTTTAAAAGTTAAGTTTAAAATCATATTCACAACCTCACCTTTCTTCTGATTTGGGGGAGGTCTTGCTTGAGAAACTGTAAAGAAGAAAAAAAAATCACAACTCTGTGTCATAAAAACCATATTCTTATTTTCAAACTTACAAGTAAGGGGTATTTTTTAAATTATTTGTATTCACATATGACTAACTGTAAATCAGAAGACGTATTTTACAACTATCTTCTCAACATTCTGTTTGACAAAAATATTAAAATGCATTATTCAACAATCTGCAGTCAAAAGGAAAGTGAATATACAATATCCATAGTTCTGTTTCTACAGTTTCAGTTAACTACAGTCCACTGTGGTCTGAAAATATTAAAGAGAAAATTCCAGAAACAAACAATTCACAAGATTTGAAATTGCACATCTTTCTCAGGAGCATAACGAAATCTCACACTGCCCCACCCAGGATGTGAATGCTCTCTTTGTCCAGCACACCCACACTCTATACACTACCCACACTTTAGTCACTCGTAGTCATCTCCCTCACTGTTATCACAGTGCTTGTTTCAAGTGGCCATTGTTTTACATACGAATGGTCCCAAAGGGCAAGAGTGATAAGGCTGACAATTTGGATACGCCACTACCAAAGACAAGACATTAAGTGTTTCCCTTAGGTGAAAAGGTGAAAATCTCTACTTAGTAAGAAAAGAAAAAAATAAAATAAAATCACATCCTGAGGTTGCTGACACCTACAATAAAAACAAAGAATCTACCATCTGTGTAATTGTGAAGAAGAAAAAGAAATTCATGCTACTTTTGCCTTTGTACCTCAAACTGCGAAAGTTTCAGTCACAGTGAGTGACAGTGTTTAGTTAAGATGGAAAGGGCATTAAATTTATGGGAGACATAAAGAGAAACATGTTCTGGTTGACTGAATCTGGTTTTGTACTATCCCTCCCTAGTTTCAGGTATCCACTGGGGGTCTTGGAACGTATGCCCTGCTAGTAAGTGGGAACTACTGTATTACAATGTCAGGCACCCAGTATCTACATTCAAGGATGTTCAGGTCTAGCAAAAAAAAAAAAAAAAGAGAGAGAGAGAGACAGAGAAGAAATAATTTCATAATAAGCTGATTACCACTGTAATAAATGTGAAAGCAGAGCATAAGAGCAAATAATACTGTGCAAAGTGTGAATACGCTTAACCATTCTGGAAGAAAAGGAAAAGTAGTTATTGAGAGCTAAGTTTAAAAAATTCCTTTTATTTTTTTTTCTTTCTTTAAAAAATTGTTTCTGGTCTCTTTTCAGGTGAGAAATACAGTGTTACAGGTAATCAGTCATGTATATGTGAAGGTCTATATTACCTGAAAATGACCATATGATTGATTGTGATCATATTATAAATACACAAATCTTCCTATCTTTTTTTGTTCTTTTTAACAAAAACAGGGTCTCGCTCTGTCACCCAGGGTTGATTTCGAACTCCTGAGCTCAAGCTATCCTCCCACCTCAGCCTCCTAAAGTGCTGGGATTACAGGGGTAAGCCACTGAGCCTGGCCCATATCTTCGTATTATGTTTATATACAATGAACTTTTAATGCATAGAAATATTTGTTGACATTGATGGTAATAATAACCTAACACAAGATCAATACATCTTAGGATAAAAAGTGCTGCAAGTTCTATTTTCAGTATTTGACCATACAATAACTCAATGTGCCAGATGCCATGATCGAGTTTTGTTTTTTAAAAGACAAAAATAAAGAAAAATTTAGGAGACTTAAAATTCTAATTGAATGTCAGTTCTTAAAAATGGATACCATCTTTAAAGTGAATAACACAGCACATACGCTTTCAGAAAATGTTCTATCTAAAAAGCAGCAAAATGCTACATTTTAACTAATTCTTTGTAATCCTTTGTATAGCTCTCTCATTGTGATAAACTATCACAGGATTCAGTAGTATGATCTTCGAGCCACAGAAAGCAGATAACTATACACACAAATACATGCTGAGACATATGCCTTTACTATTACGGTTTTCTCATCTTGCTGAGAAAAAAACCTAGAATTTTCTTAAATCAATTAGAGAAATGGAGGGTCATGGATAAATCTGATTGGTTAGATAGTATCATCTGAAATATAATACAGTCTCGGTAAATATTTGGCATTTATTGGAGAGATAAAGGGATAGATAACAGGATGGATAAACAGGAAACAGGAGTTTCTATTATGACTAAAGGGAACTACAAAAAACAAAGAGGTTTCAAGAAATAAATCTGTGATGGACAGATGGAAGGAAGGCAGGGAAGAGGGAGAGGAAGAGAGGGAAGAAGAAAGAGAGGGCAAGGGAGAAATCTCTGACTGAAGTACTGTTGGATTTGGTGAGGAAATCCACAAATGCCCTCAGGAATTTAGGCAAACATTTACTAAACTCAAGGCCGAGAAGACCCAATGTAAGAAAAAGGCAAAATAAAAAAACTCACAAATGTTAAAAATGAAGTTTAGAGGTTTAGTTTAAAAAAGAACTGCAAATGAATATAAACAAGTTCCCTAGTATGTAAGGACCCTGACTGAGACACTGTGATGAACATGTCAATGAGAAGCTTGATCTTAAAGGGGGAGGGGGAGAGAAACATAACGAGTTTGTATGTCAGAATGATCAACAGCAAAGGTCTGTACTCAGATTATTTTAGTTCATATCCTTATTTTGCCACTGTCTAGGCAAGTTGATTAACTTTGCTCAGCCTCAGTTTCCTCAATCGTAAAAGAGATAATAGTTTCTATATCTTGATATTGCTGTGAGAATTTTAAAAATAATAATGCATGCTAAAGTTCTTAACCAGGTATTAGCACATACTCACCATTTACTGAATCCTGCAACTACAGTAGATGCTAACTGCTGCCGCTTCTACTACTACTACTTCTACTACTACTCAAGCAAGTGCGCTAATTGCTAATTTACAAGCTGAGAATAAACCATAAGAAAAATTACTGTTGCTTTGTTTGATTTCAAATAAATTAGATTCTTAAGAAACATTCATTCAGAGCCTATGTACAAGCATCGCTGCTAAGTTATTATTAAACTGCAAATAAAACAGAAGTAATTCCTGCCCTCAAAGAGCTTTCAGCAGAGTAGGGGAGCCCAGACCATAAACAAAAATGCAATCAAACACATAATCTAAATGGAACACATACTAAGGGAACAAAATGAGTGTATACTGGCAGAAAAGTGTGCTTTAGATAGAATGCAAAAAGCTTCTCAAAGAAAGTGGCATTTAAGCTGAAATTTGAAAGATGAAAACAAGCCAACTTGCCAAGAACAAGTAGGCGAACAGTCCAGATAAGAGGTAGGAATGTGGGCAAATATCACAGGCAGGAAGAAATTGCTGCACTTAGGGAACTGAAACAAAGCAAATGTGTAGACCAGAAGGAAGAAAGGAAGAATGGCAGGAGATGAGGTTACAAATATATGCAGAGACCAATTAATCTAGGGCCTTTTAAGCAATATTAAGTTTACATTTAAGTGCCACTGGAAAGTCCTATAACTATTAAGCTAGAAAGTGACAAGATTTTATTTTCATTTCACAAGTCTGGAAGAAAAAAAAAACAATGGATTTGGACAAGAGATCAAAAAGGGTACACGTGTGAAGGCAGAAAGCTCAGTTAGGACTATTACAACAGTCAACAATGGTGCTACTCAAACCATGTGTGGTTGAGTTTTTGTTTGATTTCCAATTCAAAGTCAACTGAATACAATATAGTAACAATGAATTTCTAGAAAAATGAGTTTTTGTTTGATTTCCAATTCAAAGTCAACTGAATACAATATAGTAACAATGAATTTCTAGAAAGTCAACTGAATACAATATAGTAACAATGAATTTCTAGAACTCAGATGCTATGACACGATTTTACCCTCAATTTCTGTATCTATTTTGTTGGCACCGGAAATAAAAAGGTCATGGGCTGACACCAGGCAGCCGACCACACTGAGACCCACTGGTCTAGAGAGATGATGATGGTTTCTACTTGAGTTGTGGTAGTGGAGATAAAGAAAAATAGATAAATTTGGAATACAGAAAAGGTACATCTGACAGAACCCACTAACAGAAAAGGAGTAAGGAAATGTGATGAATAAAGAGTAACTTCCAAATTTTTGATTTAAGAAACAAAGTTGATGGTGTTGTCACTCTATGAAAAAGGAGAAGACTATAGAGTAAGAGGCCTTGGGGAAAATAGCAGGGAAAACATTATCTTAATTAGTTTTAAAATGCCTATGGCAAATCCAAATTTTACACAGACAGTTAATATAAGGTATCAGAGTTTGAACTGGAGATACAAATTTGGAAATCATTAGCACATAGACTTAAAACTATGGGATGAGAGGAGAAGTACTCCAAGCAGTAGCTAGGTTATAAATTACATCATTGAATAGCATAATAAATTTGTATAAAATATACAGCCACTAGCTCACTCTCTCAATCTCACATGAGTGGTATTAAGCACATAAACTAGTACCATAGACCACTTAGTCATCTCAAAAGAACTATGAATTAGTGAAGTATGGATGGTGTATACATTAATAAAGGAAAGAAGACAGACAAGGATATGTGCAAGAAATTCAATATGGCTATAAAAAGGAAAGACAGTGAAGTCCAGAACTATGGCCTTTCTGTTGCAGGAAGTCAGGGACCCCGAACGGAGGGACCAGCTGGAACCGCGGCAGAAGAACATAAATTGTGAAGATTTCATGGGCATTTACCAGTTTCCAAAATTAATACTTTTATAATTTCTTATGCCTGTCTTTACTGCAATCTCTGAACATAAATTATGAAGATTTCATGGAAGTTATCACTTCCCTAATAATACTCTTATAATTTCTTATGCCTGTCTTTACTTTAATCTCTTAATCCTGTTATCTTTGTAAGGTGAGAATGTACGTCACCTCAGGACTACTACTGTACAAATCGATTGTAAAACATGTGTTTGAACAATATGAAATCAGTGCACCTTAAAAAAGAACAGAATAACAACGATTTTCAGGGAACAAGAGAAGATAACCACACGGTCTGACTGCCTGCGGGGTCAGGCAGAATAGAGCCATATTTTTCTTCTTGCAGAGAGCCTATAAATAGACATGCAAGTAAGTGAGATATCACTGAATTCTTTTCCCAGCAAGGAATACCCTGGGGAAGGAATGCGTTCCTGGGGGGAGGTCTATAAACGGCTGCTCTGGGAGTGTCTGTCTTATGAGGTTCAGATAAGGACTGAAATACGTCCTGGTCTCCTGCAATACCCTCAGGCTTATCAGGATTGGGAAATTACAGCCTGGTAAATTTTGGTCAGAGCGGTTCTCTGCTCTCAAACCCTGTTTTCTGTTAAGATGTTTATCAAGAAATGCACAGCGGGACACAGACTCTCATCAGTAATTCTAAATTTTGCCTTTGCCTTGTGATCTTTATTGCCCTTTGAAGCATGTGATCTTTGTGACCCACTCCCTGTTCATATACCCCTCCCCTTTTAAAATCCCTAATAAAAACTTGCTGGTTTTGCGGCTCAGGGGACATCACGGAACTACCAATATGTGATGTTACCCCTGGAGGCCCAGCTATAAAATTACTGTCTTTGTACTCTTTCTCTTTATTTCTCAGACCAGCTGACCCTTAGGGAAAATAAAAAGAACCTACGTTGAAATATTGGGGGCTGGTTCCCCCAATACTTTCAAATGCTTTTATTTATGAATCCACTGGAAAACATATGCCTCTTGTTATATTCCCTAAATGAATTTTGAGAGGTTGGAAATTTTTAGAGCTTTAGATGTTTAAAGTGTTTAACTGTAAACACTTTAAAACATTAAATTTACCCACAGACTTGCCTGGCACAACAGAACTAAATAAATATTTGATGAAATGAGAAATAAAAGTTTGTAAAGGCTCAAAAACAGAACTCCACCCTTGAGGTATCTCACTCAAGGAAAGAATAGGTGGGTCAGTCTCCCACTTCCAAATTATCCAAACTCTACCCAACAAATAACAGTTACACTTCTATAATCCCCCTTCTTACACTGGCCATATATATTTTGGGTACTCACATTTTTCAGATTTTAAAGAAATAATACTAGTGTACATGTCAAATATTAAACAATATCCCTTCAAAACTGGGCTGCACCCCCAAAAGCAGATGCGTTTAACATTTTGGCAGCAAAATAAAAATACACTAATTAGGACAAATAAAGACTTCAAACTACTACTATCCATTCCAATGAACTCTTATTGCTGAATGAGAGCAAAAACCTTAATTACTTTAGAATGGTGGGTAGGAAATGTGGATGTATGGGTGTGAAGCAGTAAGTGGGAGTAGGAAGTGGAAAGTTCACATGGATGGGCAATAGAATATCTGATGTATGATGAGACATTAGTTCAGATTAATTTTGATCGGTTTAATCCCCAGTGCACTTTAACAGAGCAATTGAAAAAGTAGGCTAGAACATTAAGAGGTGAAAAGACTTAGGACCCCTTACTTTACGCACATGATCTTCCCCTAGCCACATAACTGCCTAGTAAAATCTAGACCCTTTAACTTTATTTTATCACAAGACACATGAACAAAATGGTTTGTTTAGGTATCAGTGCCTCTCCCAGCCCTTTCCTTATGTACTAACTTATTTTATGAAAATATGAAATAGAAAAAATTTTACATCACAGATTCTAAGTTAGAATCCTCAGGTGGTGGCTTGTTCTCCTTTTTCCATTTCTGACAAACCATAACCTCCCATCCCTCCCTTCCAAAGAAAAGCAAACAATTCTCTTATCTGTGATTCAACTGCCTCCACAATATTCCTATACTTTATGTCTAGTATTCTTTGGGCCCAACCCCATCTGTCCATCCCTATTTCCTTCACTTTTTTCTTCCTTCCTGTAAAAAGCTCCTTCAGCTTCTCTTAGTTTCCGGACAAGAGCCTACTATATAGAAATTCAAATAATATTTGTTGAATTTAGTTGTTGTTCTTATACTCTCATGATGGATTCTGGTATGACCATCTCTATCGAAAATTAGTCCTGTCATCTTAATCAATTACATCCAATCTAGTCTAAGTATAACAAGGCTGACAGAGCACTCCTCTTCTCCACATCTACTTAAAAACAGCAATGACAAAAATTTCAAACAAACCTACTGTCAAACAAAAAATAAAAACAAAAAAAGGAAATACTAGCCACATCTAAGAGGAGCATGAATACAGGACATAAGGAAATCACCCTGCAAAACCATCCCAACATAAGCCCCATGTACCATGCTTTTGACATGCCTCCAGAAAATAGTTAATATTCATAATCTAAATAATTTTAGAACTGGCCTGTGTACATACTATGAATAAGAGGATATCTGTATCTGCACTATTGATACTATGAAATTTATGCAGAAGATCCAGTTAAGTTCTTGCCTGTATCTTTCCAAACCTTTATTTTCTTTTTTCATACTCACTTTCAACAGCACTGATGAGGTTATTTAAAAAAAAAAAAAAAAAAAAAAGGGCCGGGGGGCGGGGGTGGCAGCTGGTATAGCCTAGCACTGAAATTATGCTAAATAAATGTAAAAATAAAACAAACACCAAACACCAAAAACAAACCCAAAAGACCAAAAATAAATATAGGGTTGGTATCTAAGTATCTATAAAGATCAGTCTTTCTAGGTACTAGGAATAGGGGGAAGAATTTTTCTAAAATAACTTCAATACTACCTTTGCTTAACACATTTTTAAAAAAATGATACAGAACTTTAGGTGTTCAACACAGATATCTGAAGTTCTAAGCATCAAAGCTGAATATCATTCTATTAAAATTATAATTCTGTGCTGCTGTAGGAAAAAAAATCACATCTGTACATACTACCTGATAAGGATGGATATATATAAATAGCTTTTAAACATTTAAAAATGTTTTAAAACATGTTTCTAAAATCTTAACCGAAATGAAAACATTTTCTTAAAATTTTTCTTTAAGTCTTCACTATACCTATTTATTCAAGCAAATGTTCTATAGTATAACTTCATTATTGAAAAACAGTGTTTCATAACCCATTTTATCAATGACCTGTGAATCAAATCGGGGAAAACATTACTTCAATAAAGAATATTACAAAATCCAGTTCAGCTGCTTATTACACTATAGGAAAATAAATAATTTAATATGCTTTTCACTTTCTTTCTTTATGTCTTTCTGCTAAAAACATGAAGATTTATTAATGATGCTGACTGAAGTTTAGCAAGCATTTTATGTATATTATCACAGTTTTGAGATCTGCTTAAACAGTATCGACAGTCTTTAAAGAAACATGACTTTGCAATGTATTTTAAGTAAAATTTAAATGTGTTCAAAGCATTATATACACATACCAAAAAACTTGCACTGTTACGAGCTTTTGAAAGAAAGCAAAAAACAAAGTTTTATATTTTTACCTGGTCTTGGTACTGGCTGGGCTGCAGGAGTCTGAGTCTTCCGTGCAGATGCACCCTCCTTTAAAAGAGTAAGAATTGATATATAAGATCAAAGTTTCTTTACATAATAAACACTGTAATTATTGCAAAGAAATCTCGTATCTCTCTGTCTCTTGTTCTGTTTTTCTCACTCAATTGGTTACTCCACTAAACATGTTATGACCTACAGTTTAAGAAAAAAATAAAAATGAAAACTCTCCTGATCTTTTATGCTATTAGTCATGAGATCATAATAAACATCTTTAGTGTAAAACAAACTTAGTTACTACAGAGTAGTTACTGTAAGCATGTAATATTTTTAAATGATTTGTTTAACTGCTGACAATTTTAATATTCTCAGAAATATCACTGCCTATTCTAAAATCAAGTCAACCTTTTTTTCTCTAAACAATCTCAAAATAAATAAATGATATATACTCTCCTGTTAAAAAAACCTAACATACGTTATATTGGAAGGTATTTAAAAAACAAACATTTCAAATAATTAAATGCCTTTAAAATATTCAGGAAAAATCACATTTATAAAGAAGAGATGTTACATTTGAATTAAGAGCAGATGAGAGTATCTTAAAAACTAAATAACAAATCTCAATAATTACTGAAAATGTAAGATGTACAAGGAAATATGCTAAGTGTTGAAGTATATCAATTATATACTCAAGGATAGATGCCTCTGAAATGCTTAAGATTCTTAAAATGTCTGTTTTTAGTGCAATAGTTTCAATCATATTCACAGTGATATTTCATAATACATTTTTCTTTACAGAAAGTTGCAAGTGTAAATTTCATAACTATGAATTCATAAAGACTTTAGTTGTACATAACAGAAGGAAATTTGACAAATATCAGGGGAGGTATAAAAATACATAAAAATTAAAATCAATATTAGCATCTCAAAGAACATTTCCAAAGAAATACTGCTAAATACTAATTATAATTACACTACATTCTCTTCAAAATTTCAGATGGTAAACATGGTAAAACTGTTTGAAATAGCAGGCTATCCTATAGCATTTTTTAAAAAATAAATGACTATAAAAATGAGTACAAGAGAAAAAAGACTTTCACTTCAATACAGTGGTATTCCTAGTATTCAGTTAGAACATCACAGAAACCATTCTTTATTACAAGAAACAAGAGTCACAGGGGCAGGTAGGTGGCAAAAACTCCAAGAAGAAAAAAATACAACCACACAAAAAGACACCTGAGGACAGCAAAATATCCTTTTTTCCAATGTTCTCCCTATTGCGCATTTAGTTATTAATATATATTGGTGTATTTACTACTGAGTCATTCCAGGTGCTGGTTTCACAGATGTTTGTTCATAAAAATTTATCAAGCGTACTTATGATATGGTCTTCCTCCAACTATATTACATTCAGGTAAACCTTTAAATGTTTAAAAAAAAAAAAAGTGAATCATAATTAAGGTGGAGAGCACATCAAATATTTAACATTATTATAATGTGGGGGAACCTTCTGATTATATTTTTCTCTAAGTTTATGTTAGGGGACATAACTATTTTTATTCTTTGTAATTCCAGTACCTGGAGCATAGTAGGCTCTGGGCACTGCAGCTAGTTGAACTGAACTGCACCTAGATTTTTAAAAAATCAGAAGCCAGGGGATAATCATTACAAGGAATCCATTAAAAGAAACATTAGCTCCTATATAAAGAATCAACTAGACATTATATAATAAGAGTAAACTAATCATATTACTTACCTATTCTAGTATATAAATACTGACTCGTGGGGATGTGATTTAAGAGGAAAAACATAGAAAATGAGACAGAAAAACAATGAGCACGTATATATGCAGACATCTTCCGTCCACATTTAACCACGAGTCTGGCTGGATTCAAATCAAAGCCCTTCTTTTTTTGGAATACAGTGGCCTAAGTTCAAAATCACCAGAATAAAAATTACGTGCATATAAAGATAACTATACAAACCCAAAGTGATCCAACTAACTACTGAATTAGTTGTACACCTGTACTATAAGCATGTGTATAAGCATGTATAAATAAAGGTATAAGCATGTGTAAATAATATGAAAACAAAAAACAAAAAAAAAAACCTTTTCCACTACAAACTATAACCCTTAGGAATTTTTGTCTACTTTTGAATAAGCTCAAAACTTGATCCCTTTAAATACCAATAATGGGTATTTTCTGTTTGCCTAGTAATAATCCTTGCTTGATGACTCAATCACTCCTTTATGGCAATAAGCTCTATCCCCTCGTCACTAGGAAAGGTATATATCCTAGACTTCATCAATCAAAAGTCCTTCTTTGGGATTGTTTTTTATAGACTGGGATTATTTTTGATAGACTAGAGCTAGCTGTTAAAACCACTAGCTACAAGGCTACAAGGAAATAAGCCTAAAATCACTGATGATGATGTCCCTTGACTCATGGAGAAAATGTATTGGCAGAAAAGAGAATTAAGCTATAATGCAAGAAAAGAGGTAGAGTATAATACCCTTTGTAATACCTACTATCTATTTCCAGTGGCCTGCAAGATCTACTTTACCCTTAACCATTCTTGATTATATGAGTCAAATCTCCCATCTCAGCACTCTACAAACCCCACATACACTTTTGGTTGTCTCAGTTGAATCAAAGTTCTGTCAGGTGCAATAGAAAAAAAATGTTATCTAATTTTGTCTTCTCAAGGCTTACTGAAAATTTCAGTTGTCGAGGTCAGTACAGCATAACTTCGTTTAATTTTTGAGTTGGTACAAACAACCGCCCCGCCAATACACACACAAAGAGTTATACAGCTGTGACACAACAATAAACTAATGACAAAACAGTAGAATATAACCTTCTTGGAAGAAAACTGGGAAGTTCTTTTCAAATCACGTCACGAATTTATAGCCGTTTCTAGGACTCTCCCCAGCCAATATCACTCAAGAGACTAAAAGCACATTCTACTCTGATTTCCATTATTTTTAAGTAAAGCTGGAGTAGTCGCTGCATAAGGGATTGCAGAAATCAACCCCACCACCCTCCACCCTAAAGATGAAGAGACAAAGGTGAAGTCATTTTTCAAAGGCAACACACACACACACACACACACACACACACACACACACACACACGGCATGTATTAATAAACAGAAAAAATAATCTGGAAGTAATATGGAACAGACTGACAATCCTATATTTTTAAAGACATATTTGGATTGGAAGAAAAAACACTACACAGCTGGGAAAAGAAAGGTATCAGCACAAAAACAAAAGAGCTGACAAGTTGTGCTAACTGGAGAGGAAAACCTGCTTTCTCTTGAAAAGTCAGAATCATTACAATTTCACCAAGACTTGAGGCATTCGAGAAAAGTAATAACCGAATTAACACAGAAGGGAAAAACGGTGAGAGAACCACATTTGTGAATAATAAAAATACAAAACAAAGTATGCTGTTTACAAGCAATCCTGGCTTTCATTATTTTAGCAAATGAGATCATCTAAAATCTTCTGATATTTGCAAAGGACCAGTATGTGCAGTTTAAACAAGTAGAATAAATATCATAATATATAATACCATCACGACTGTATATTTAGAAAACCCCATCATCTCAGCCCAAAATCTCCTTAAGCTGATAAGCAACTTCAGCAAAGTCTCAGGAAACAAAATCAATGTGCAAAAATCACAAGCATTCCTCTACACTAATAACACACAAACAGAGAGCCAAATCATGAGTGAACTCCCATTCACAATTGCTTCAAAGAGAATAAAATACCTAGGAATTCGACTTACAAGGGATGTGAAGCAACTCTTCAAGGAGAACTACAAACCACTGCTCAATGAAATAAAAGAGGACACAAACAAATGGAAAGAACATTCCATGCTCATGGATAGGAAGAATCAACATCGTGAAAATGGCCATACTACCCAAGTAATTTATAGATTCAATGCCATCCCCAATTAAGCTACCAATGACTTTCCTTCACAGAATTGGAAAAAAAAAGCTTTAAAGTTCATATGGAACCAAAATGAGCCTGAATTGCCAAGACAATCCTAAGCCAAAAGAAGAAAGCTGGAGGCATCACATTACCTGACTTCAAAACTATATCTAACAAGGCTATTGTTAACCAAAACAGCATGTACTGGTACCAAAACAGGGATATAGACCAACAGAACAGAACAGAGCCTCAGACATAGTAATCACACATCTACAAACATCTGATCTTTTGACAACCTGACAAAAAAACAAATGGGAAAGGATTCCCTATTTAATAATCATGCTGGAAAACTGGCCTAGCCATATGTAGAAAGCTGAAACTAGATCCCCTTCCTTAACACTTTAATTACAAAAAAATTAATTCAAGAGGGATTTAAATAACTAAATTGTTAGGCCTAAAAATGCATAAAAAACGTCCTAAGAAAACCCTCCGTAATACCATTCAGGACATAGGCATGGGCAAGGACTTCATGTCTAAAACACCACAAGCAAAGGCAACAAAAGCCAAAATTGACAAATGGACTATGTTAAACTAAAGGGTCTTCT